CACCTGAAGCCGCGGCCTCAATTTTTGGCGCGGCCGACCAGGATCGCCGGACATCAGCCCGGACTGCTGTCGCTCTGTTCCTCGGTCCCCGCCGATCAGCCAGCCTCCCCAGGGCCCCCCTCACCGACTCTGGGTCCATCCAAATTAAAGATACCGACCACCGGGTACCAGATCGCCAGAGCAGCCACTGGATGGTCAGCTTCGGCACCCCTGCGCCCCTACCGCTGCCATCCGGGCCCATCCGGGCCCCTGAGCCTGCTGCCGAGGTCCCTACCAACACCCACAGTCACTCCGTCCCTCCAGCAGAGCTCCGGCGGTTCGAAGCGGCCTGAGGCCTACCACGGCACCCGAAGCCGTGGTGTTTCCTGCCAGCCGTGGCTGGAATCACGGCGGGAATTGCGGCCGTGGCGGGACGCCTCCGCTCCTCCGGGAAGCTACCACCACCACCAACGGTCCTGCTAACCTAGGACTCCAGGACACCAGGTACTTCACCAGGGGCGCCCACTACCCACCAGGGAGCCCAACCACCATCACACCGCCAGCCTCCAGGGACTCACTCAGGGATCCCACCATCCACCGGAAACCCCAAACCACCAGGGACCCTAAGCCACTATCCCTCCAGGGATCGCTACTACCCCACCAGGGATAGCACGGCCACCATCCCACCAGGGATCCTCTGCCCACCACCCACCTGGGACTACCAGCCAGCCACCCCACCAGGGACCGCTCGCCCAGCACCCTGCTTTCCGGCACGCTATTCCCCCGGCGACTAGTGGCCCACCACGACCCTTGAAGCCGCGGTCTCTCTCCTACCGGCCGCAACAGATCACGGTTGAGCACAAACCACGCAGGGCCGATGATCACTACCGCAACACCCCGCTCGAACCTGACGACGAATCCTTCAACACCTCCTGACACTGCGTCCTTCAACACCTTCAGCGCCTCACGACGCCGAGCCCGCAGCACCCGACGCCTGGCCTCAACAACCCCAGTCACCGAGCCGCCAGCATCACCAGTCGCCGTGCCTACTAACAGCATCACCAGTCGCCGTGCCTACTAACACCCCCAGCCATCGCACCCTACGACCCCTCCGCTAGCTGAACCACCGTACCCACTGAAGACATGCCACAGCACCCACGGTCGCCAGCTTACTGCACCCACAGACTGCTGCCAACCAGCTGCCGCCCTCCACCCTCACTCTACCCCTACAGAAGGACTCAAATGACTCTCCCACGGTAATACAGATTCCCCACACCACCCTGCCCTGACCTGTATCCCTTCACCTCCCCTGACCCAACCGTCACTCCACCCACCCCAACATGCCTCCTGCACTCCTCCTCCTCGTTTTCCTCTCCACCATCCCAAAAATCACCTCCCTCTACCCGCCTACCCCCCCAAAACAGCTCTACATTGCCCCTTCACTTCTCCCCTCTCCCCACTACGGCACTTACCACCTCCTCCTGCTACTCCACTCCCCTGTCGACCCACGTGCCACCACTATCAGACCCACACGCTCCTGCACTTCCCATCCCCATGCCACCTTCCTCACCCTTCTCCTATCCGCTGGGGACATCTCCCCGAACCCTGGCCCCTCGCCACCTCACCCCTCCTCTAGGGATCCCCCCCTGCTCCCGCCAGCTGCCGTAACCCCCTCAACCTCATACCTGTGCCCCTTCTCCCCGCATCCATCCCCCCTCTCTCAGTTGCACTCCTGAATGCCCGCTCGGTCTGCAACAAACTTACTGCCATCCATGACCTCTTTATCTCCCACTCCCTTAACCTCCTAGCCATCACCGAAACCTGGGTACAGGCCACTGACTCCACCTCCCCTGCGGCACTCTCCTATGGAGGTCTCGTCTGGTCCCATTCACCAAGACTGAGCGGTCACAAAGGTGGTGGGGTCGGCCTGCTCCTATCACCGCTGAGCACCTTCCAGGTCCTCCCTAACCCTCCCTCCCTAACCTTCTCCTCCTTCGAGGCTCACTGTATCCGGCTCTTCACCCCCACCCCCCTAAGGATCGCAGTGATCTACAGGCCTCCCGGATCCATACCTCGCTTCCTGGATGACTTCGCCGCCTGGCTTCCCTTCTTCCTCTCCTCTGAGCTACCAACCATCATCCTCGGGGACTTCAATATCCCCATCAACGACAACAGCCCGGCTACTTCCCCAACTCCTCCACCTAACCTCCTCCTTCGCGCTCACACAGCACACTCAATCCTCCACCCACATCATTGGGAACACCCTGGACCTCGTCTTCTCCCACCTCTGTACCCTCAACCAGTTCTCTAACACCCCCTTCCCTCTCTCCGACCACCACCTCCTCACGTTCTCCATCTCCTCCCTTACCCCCTAACTCCCCCCCCCCCCAGAGCGCCAAACCATCACCAGCCGCAACCTCCGCAACCTTAACCCGGCCCCCCTCCACTCAGCTGCCGACCGCCTACACACCAGCATCCTTCCACTGTCATGTCCTGACCTAGCCACTAACACGTACAACGACTCACTATCAGCTACCCTAGACTCTCTGGCACCCCTAACCACACGCTACATCAAACCCAGACCGCTCCAACCATGGCAGAACGACCACACTAAATGCTCTCAAACGCCGCAGTCGCGCGCTAGAGAGACTATGGCGCAAAACCAGGTCCCCCGTTCATTCTCCCTCTACAAATCTGCCTTCCTCACTTACACCTCCTCCCTCCACGCCGCCAAGCAGGCTTACTTCGTAAACCTGATCAACACCCTCTCCTCCTGCCCTCGCCGACTCTTCTCCACCTTCAACTCTCCTACTCTCCCCCCCTCCTCCACTCAGTACCTCACTCACCGCCCACGAAATTGCCACTCATTTCCACAACAAGATTGATGCAATCCGTCAGGACATAGTCAACTCACAATCTACCTAGCCCCCCCCCTATCTCCCCCTCATCTCTTCCCTACTCTGACCTCGCAACCGCACTGCCCCCCTCCACACCCAAGACCCCGCTTACCGTAACGCCCCCAGCTCTGCACTCCTTCAGCCCCGCTACACTGAGGAAGTCACCAGGGTCTTCTCAGAAGCCCGCCTCACTACCTGCCCCCTGGACCCTATCCCCTCTCGACTCCTCCAGTCACCCCCCTCTTCCCTCATCTGCTCCCTCACCCACATCTTCAATCTCTCCCTCTCTACTGGCGTATTCCCCTCCCCCCTAAAGCATGCGCACATCACCCCATACTCAAAAAGCCCTCCCTGGACCCCTCTGACCCAAACAACCTCAGACCCATCTCCCTGCTGCCACTCACTTCCAAACTCCTGGAGCGCTTAGTCTACGACCGCCTAAGCGCCCACCTAACTGACAACAACCTCCTTGATCCACTACAGTCCGGCTTCCGTCCCCTACACTCCACCGAAACCGCCCTCCTCAAAATCACCAACGACCTACTAACCGCCAAAGCCAAAGGCGACTACTCTGTCCTCCTCCTCCTGGACCTCTCCGCGGCCTTCGACACAGTTGACCACCCCCTCCTCCTTAATAAACTACTCTCCCTTGGCATCAGAGACACCGCTCTCTCCTGGTTCTCCTCTTACCTATCCCGACGCTCCTTCAGCGTTTCCTACAATGGTGCCACCTCCCCTTCCCTCCCCTCTCTGTTGGGGTCCCCCAGGGCTCTGTCCTTGGACCCCTTCTCTTCTCCATCTACACCTCCTCCCTTGGCAAACTCATACACTCCCACGGCTTCAACTACCACCTCTACGCTGATGACACTCAAATTTACCTCTCCACCCCCCACCTCACCCCCACATTCTCCGCCCGCATCACTCACCTCCTAAACGACATCTCAGACTGGATGTCGCTCCATTTCCTCAAGCTTAACCTCTCCAAAACCGAGCTTCTCGTCTTCCCTCCTGCCCGCGCCCCCCCCCCCCCCATCCTATCCATCACTACTAACATCACCACCATCAATCCCGCCCCGCAAGCCAAAGTCCTTGGAGTCATCTGGACTCTAACCTCTCCTTCCAACCTCATGTCAAATCACTTACAAAACACATGCAGGCTCCACCTCCGGAACATCGCCAAAAATACGCACCTTCCTTACCCCAGACACCACTAAACTACTCGTACACTCCCTGATTATCTCACGCCTTGACTACTGCAACTCCCTCCTCACCGGCCTACCCCAGTGCAGGCTCTCCCCGCTTCAGACCATCCTGAACTCAGCGGCCAGACTCATCCACCTCACCACCCGCTCCACCTCTGCCACCCCCCCTCTGCCTATCCCTCCACTGGCTCCCTATCGTCCAACGCATCAAATTCAAACTACTCACTCTGACCTACAAAGCCCTTCACAACACTGCCCCTAACTACCTCACCAACCTGATTCCCAAGTACCACCCTACCCGTACCCTTTGCTCTTCACAGGACCTCCTTCTATCTTGCTCCCTGGTCTCCTCCTCACACGCACATCTGCAAGACTTCTCCAGGTCTTCCCCCATCCTCTGGAACTCACTACCCAATTCATCAGACTGTCACCTTCCCTCCTCACCTTCAGGCGCTCCCTGAAAAACCCACCTCTTCAGGGAAGCCTACCCCACCCTCACCTAACTGCTGCTCTCCTTCATTCCTCCTACCACTCCATCCCCCACAGCCACTTCCTGCTGTACCACTACCCCCTCCCTCCTAGATTGTAAGCTCGAAAGAGTAGGGCCCTATAACCCCTCGTGTGCTGTTTGTAGGTGCTGTAATGTTTCATGTATTGTCCCCCCCTCTATTGTACAGCGCTGAGCAAAACCCTTTGGCACTATATAAACTCGATGTAATGTAATGTAATGTAATATACACAAGACTGGGACATTCACATTTACACCCTGTACCCCTTAACAGGCACAGGGTGGGTTAAACACAATGAGGGGAACATGCGCTGACCAAGCGGCCCCCCCCACCCCCAAAAGTCACTCCCGTCACACTGATCATCAGGGCACTGATGATCAGTGTGCCCTGATGATCAGTGTAGCCCCAGCAGTGCCACCTGTCAAAGTCCATCAGTGCCAGCTGTCAGTGCCGATCAGTGCCTCGTGCCAGTGCCCATAAGTGCAACATCAATGCCACATATCAGTGCATACCAGTGCACATCAATGCCACATATCAGTGCCCATCTGAGCTGCCTTTCAGTGTCATCCATCAGTGCCAGTCAGTGCCATCTATCAATGCCAAACAGTGCCACCTATCAGTGCTGCCAATCAGTGCCACCTATCAGTGCCAGTCAGTGCCACCTATCAGTGTGCATCAGTACCACCTATCAGTGCCGCCTAACAGTGCCAGTCAGTGCCGCCTAACAGTGCCATATATCAGTGCTGCCTTTCAGTGCCCATCAGTGATGCCTGTCAATGCCCATCAGTGGCACCTACCAGTGCCTCCTCATCAGTGCCCATCAGTGCCACCTATTAGTGTCCTTCAGTGCCCATCACTGCAGCCTCATTAGCACACATCAGTGAAGGAGAAAAATCACTTATTTACAAAATTTTATAACAAAAACTAAAAAAAACTTTTTTTTTTTCAAAATTTTCAGTGGTTTTTGGTTTTTAAGAAAAAATAAAAATCCAGAGGTGATTAAATACCACCAAAAGAAATCTCTATCTGTCACAAAAAAAAAGATAAAAATTTCATATGGGTACAGTGTTGCATGACCGCGCAATTGTCATTCAAAGTGCGACAGCGCTGAAAGCTGGAAATTGGCCTGGGCAGGAAGGGGGTAGAAGTCCTAGTGGTTAAACAGTAACCAGGCCTGTAATCAGTGCCTTGGTGTTTGTTCCCATGAGCCCTCTGTTATCCTGTTTTCCCTGAACCTGTTACCTGTGAACCGCTCTGTGGCCGGTCTTCCCCCCTGCTTTCCCATGCTTGATCTCCTGTGTATGACCCTGCTTAGCCCTGACTACACTTTTATTGCTGTACATTATATATTGGGTGAAGGTTTTTTGGTTATTTGGGTTTTGTTTGCACTCTGCGTTTTTGTATACTGGTGTAGCTCACAATAAATTATATTATCCACATCACTCCTGAAGCCTGATATTCCCTGTGTCAGTCCACACATCTCTGGTCATATCCGGATTACTGACAGGTCACTAGTGATTTTGCAATTGCAGCTCACCCGTGAATGATCTGCTTATGGAGTTTCCTCTGCACAGTTTTGGTGGACACGGGCTTTGGAAAGACTGAGATTGAGCTCTGCAGCCACTTTTGCAGCAGTTGTTTTCTTATTCCAGGTCACAATCCTGCACAATGTCCTTTTGTCTCTTGCAGTCAGGTGCCCATGTGGACCACGGAAACTGTATTTGCAGCCATAAAACCTTCGGTCCTGTACCTCTCCACACTGCAAATAAAATTGTCAACTTCAATTTGCCCTCTTTGAAGCTCAGTAAGCTCTGACATGACACAGAAAATGAGGAAAGTGAGGCTTCCCACCTGTTAGCTGGGTGTCTCATCCAGTGTGGTGAACCCCACACTGGGGGTTCACAGGTACAGCTGCATAGCAGGAGGTGAGTGGTGACCTTCTGCTTTACAGCCCTGTCATTGACAGGCCATGGACTGGGCAGCCCCGGGCCACCAGGCAAATGCCTGTTGTGCCCTATGGCCAGTCCAGGACTGGATGTTCCCATGTGAAGGTTTCCCCTCACCACCTGTTCCAGTGAAAACTGTTGCAACAGACCACCCTTCCACAAAGTGAATACACAAAAGTAAGGGGATTTACTGATATAGAGGGGAACCTTCACATCAGTTAACAAACCGCCCCCCCCCCCCAGACTGACTGGTGGGGCACTGTCATAGATATCCTCTCAGGTGCAGGGCTCAGCCAGATGGTCCTCTCGAGGTTCCACCTTGGCAGCTCTGGTTTCATCCAATATTTTCTTCTACAGTCTACACAGGTCTGACTCCTCCCATGAGGCCCACTCTCACTTCCTTTCCAGGCTCTCAGAGACTGCAGACATATTACAAGAGATGGTGAGAGACTGCAGACATGATACAAGACATGGTTAGAGACTGCAGACATGATTAAAGAAATGGTTAGAGATTGTGGACATGATACAAGAGATGGTTACAGCCTGCACACATGGTACAGGGGATGATTTCAGATTGTGGACATGATACAAAAGTTGGTTAGAGACTGTGGACAGGGTACCGGAGATGGTTAGAGACTGTGGACAGGGTACAGGAGATGGTTAGAGGCTGTGGAGCGCAGACAGGACACAGGAGATGGCTAGAAGCTGTAGACAGGATATAGAAGGTTAGAGGCTGTGGGTAGGATACAAAAGATGGTTAGGGGCTGTGGACATGGTTAATTGCTGAGAGTCTAAGTGGTTGTTTGACCTTCAGGACAATGAATGTATTGACACGTAAACATGATGACACCTAGATTCAGAGAGGATAAACATCTGGGCAAGCTGGAATTGTCTCATGTTTTCAAAGTATAACAACTTAACCAGTTTTGTGATCAAGGACAACATGCTCGTTATTCAAGTTACTTTTATGTTAGGGATGGGCTGTATGTTCGCGTCGAAAGTACGAGTTTAATATTGGCTGTTTGTGTGTTCACCGAACACACGTACATATGGGGCGTTTGGCGGGATGTTCACATCCCACAATGCAATGCACTCTGGTGGCGCATTGTGATTGGCCAAAGCAGTGCAATGCTTTGGCCAAAGTCTTGGTGACTTTGGCCAATCATGGCTCAGGGGCTAAGTCCACTCCCCACACTATTACACTATATAAGGCTGCTTATACAGCAGCCTTGTGTAGTGTGTTATAGGAGTGGCCTTCTGCAGTGTTATAGGAGCAGTCTTGTGCGGTGTTATAGAAAAAGCCTGGTGCAGTGTTACAGGAGCACACTTGTGCAGTGTTGTAGGAGAGGCCTTGTGCAGTGTTATAACAAAAAAAAAATAATAATAATAATAATAAAAGCGCTTATAGTGCACCAAGCACAAACAAATTGCACCCAAGCAACAAAAATCCCATTCTACACAGAAAAATAAAGTGATATAAATCCCCCTAAAAAATCCCCATCATGTGCAAAAGGCCAAGAAGGAGAGGCAGATGCTCACAGGCAGCTAAGAGAGGGCAAGCAGCCTCTGTGTCCACAGTGAAAAGTAGTGGTCGTGGACATGGTGTATCCTCTGCAGGCAGGGCGCGCTTGTCCTTTTTTTTCCTATGATGGCCGTATTTATTATTGAGCGACAACATGCAGAAGAGGTGGTGGAGTGGATAACTAAGCCATCCTCATCCTCCTCATCCTCTGTCACCGAGGCTCATACTATTCTGTCTTCCACCGCAGTTGCCAAAGCGGCCTATTCCACAGGCTCCTTGTCCACCACAGCTGCTCCTTTCATAGCCCCACCATCATGCACGGAGGAGTCACCAGAATTATTTGATCGTAGTGTCAGTTACATGTTGCTGGAGGATACGCAGCAATTTGAATGCTCCAATGTTGGTTTCCCAGGTTGAGGAAAGTATTGACATGAGCCTAGAGAGAGGGGATGCCAGTGAGGGAAAAAGAAATTGGCAGTCATGTTCCCCCAGCTGCAGCACACTGCCAAGTTGGCTTCAGTGACGAGGAGGAAGGGGATGTGGAGTTCACTGACTATACTTGGGTGCCTGAGAGAACAGAGGAGGAAAGTGAGGCATAGGCAGAATTCTAATGAGGCAGGATGTCCTCCAGACAGGGCAGACGTAAGAGGAGCCAACCGATGACTCCGGGCAGACTTCCAAAAGTTCTCTGCTGTGGGCTTTCTTCAACACATGTGCAGCATTGTTGTTTGCAGTCTCTGTCTGAAGCAGATCAAGCGTGGCCAAAACACCAGCCACTTGGGCACCACATGCTTGACAAGCCATCTGACAAGCTGCCATGCAGCCCCTTGGCAACAGCACCTGAAAGACCCACATCCGAAAAAAGTGCAGACTTCTTCTTGCTCCTCATCTGGGATCTCTACCTCTATTGTATAATGTCAGGTCTTCTCAACAGCCTCCACTGAGAGGAGCGATGGTACAGCAGTGAGTGCCACAGGTCCTGGCACCCCGTCTAGTGGCAGTACACCACCTATTGATTTCAGCAGGCATATTTCGCTATCCCAGTTGCTGAACCATGAAAAAAATTCTGTCCCACCCATCCACATGCTCAGTGTCTAAATGCTAGCCTGGCCAAATTGCTAGTGTTACAACTGCTACCTTTCCATCTGGTGGACTCTGCCCCCTTCCATGAGTTTGCAGAATGTGTTGTACCACAGTGGCAGGTTCAGAAAAGACAATTCTTGTCACGTAAGGCCATTCCAGCTCTGTACCATCATGTAAAAGGCAATCTTTTGGCCTCATTGGACAGGGCGGTCAGCAGCAAGGTCCATATTACTGCCGACACGTGGTCCAGCAGGCACGGTCAGGGACATTACATATCCTTTACAGCGCACTGGGTAACTCTGCTAGCAGCTAGAAAGGACGCAGGTCAGGGTTCAGTCCTGGAGCTTGTTCTGCCACCACACCTCCAAAAGCTAGTGGTGATTCTGCAATATCTGTTTGCTCCACCCCCTTCTCTTCCTCTGCCTCTATGGCCTCTTCTGCTGAATTGTCATCTGAACCAGCGGTGCCCTGTGAGCGTTCAAGAGGCTACGCAAGTAGTCAGGCTAAAAGATGCCACGCGGTGCTTTAGGTTTTCTGTCTAGGAGACAGAAGCCACACCGGGCCAGAGATTTTGTCAGCTCTGCAGGGTCAGGCTCAGAGGTGGTTAACGCCACGGCAGCTTGAGCCAGGAATGGTTATATGCAACAATGGCACCAACCTTCTCTCCGCTCTCTGACAGGGATACTTGACACATGTTCCATGCTTGGCACACGTCTTGAATTTAGTGGTGCAGAATTTCTTGAACAGATACCCAGGCTTTCAAGATCTTCTGAGGCAGGACAGAAAAGTCTGTGGCCATTTCCGGCGCTCATACACGGCCAGTGTATAGCTGGCCGAAATTCAAAGGGAGTTCAACCTGCCCACCAACCAACTCATTTGTGACATGCCCACTCGATGGAACCCAACTTTGGCAATGCTGCAGCAGCTGCACATGCAGTAGAGGGCCATCAATGAGCACCTTTGTGAATATGGCACAAGGACAGGCTCAGGGGAGCTTGGCTTCTTTTCGCCATGCCAGTGGCTGCTGATAAAGGATGCATGCACTGTCCTGTCACCATTTGAGGAGGTCAAAAGGATGGTGAGCCACGACACTGCATGCATCAGTGACATTATCCCTCTAGTCTTCCTGCTGGAGCACACGCTGCATAGAATCATGGACAGGGCACTTGAGGCAGAACAGCGGGAGGAAGAGGAGGATTTCCTGTCCTCTCAAGGCCAATGCAGAAACCATTCCTGTGGGGTCACAGAACACACAGCAGGAGGAGGAAGATGATGATGAGGAGGAGGATTGCAGCAACATGAAAGTAGAGGATCCACATACAGCAGTCTTCAAGGGGCGGTTTTCAGTCTGCAGAAACCCAGCCAGG